TAAATCGGAGGAAACTCATGTGTGGTACTGTAAACATAGCCAAATGGTGTGGCTGGAGAGGTCATAGATCTTAGAGAAAACCCCTAGACTGTCACATCCCTAGACTAATGTAACTTCTTACTGTGTGCAAAATATGGATCCTTATATTTACAGACAAGGTCTTACGTAGTCCAGGCTGGTGTAGAACTTTTGATCCTCCTGCCTGCACTTTCCAAGGAGGTTACAGGTGCGAGCCACCACAAAGTGCTTACTGCTGTGTTGCTGGTGCTCCTCCTCCTCCTCCTCTTCCTCCTCTTCCTCCTCCTCCTCCTCTTCCTCCTTCACCTCGTCCTCCTAACTTATTTTCTCCTCTCTGATGAGGCATCCTGTAGTCCAGGCTGGTGTAGAACTTTTGATCCTCCTGCCTGCACTTTCCAAGGAGGTTACAGGTGCGAGCCACCACAAAGTGCTTACTGCTGTGTTGCTGGTGCTCCTCCTCCTCCTCCTCTTCCTCCTCTTCCTCCTCCTCCTCCTCTTCCTCCTTCACCTCGTCCTCCTAAATTATTTTCTCCTCTCTGATGAGGCATCCTGCTGTCACCTGCAAAGTTTGTCTTCAAGAGACCTAAGAACACTGTTAGTCTGAGTTTCTTGACCACATTCCCATCTAAAGCCCTCAAGTGTATACCTTGTTGAACATAAATCAACAATTATATTTCATTCTTTTGCTATGATAATTACTCCAGTGATTATGTGATATAGTTGGGAAAAGAGACAGAAAATGAGGGAGAGAGAGAGAGAGAGAGAGAGAGAGAGAGAGAGAGCACTAGACACAAGCTTACATCCTTCCCTGGCTTGCACAGAACAGGGAGAGTGGACCAACCTGTTCCTGCAGAGGTCCAGCCCTCACTGTCCTCTCCAGCCCACAACGTGCTCACATGAAAAGCACTGACTTGATATTTGTCGAGCTTCCATGATTGCCTAGGTTCTGGGGCCTCTATTTCAGAGTCCAAGATGCCTTTTCTGTGGAAGATACTGCCTGTGTTGGGGTTGTTTCTTGCTATAGCTGTCGGCCTGATCAAGAGGAGGAGCTCTACAAAAGGTAAGTGTGTGAGTAGGTCGGTGAGGCGCCCAGTCAGTATCCTGTAAGGAATAGTCACAGGGCCCTGGTTTACATTCATGTAATCAGGGCTCAGTGATGACTGAGCTTGGGGTCCACAGTGACAACAGCAATGGGTTGCAAGGCAGTCATTTGGGAGTTGGAGAGATTGCTCAGCAGTTAAGAGCACTGATTACTTTAGCAGAGAACCCAAGTTGTATTTCCAACAGCCATTATCAGGTGTCTCATAACCAACCACTTATACCTCCAGCTGCAGGGAATGTGACACCCTCTTCTGACATCCTCGAGTACCTGCATACACTCACATAGATACACATAAATAAAAATAAAAATTATATTTTTTCAATGACAATAACTTGGGCCTGGTATGATGGTACATGCCTTTAATCCTCACACTTGGGAGGCAGAGGCAGGTGGATTGCTGTGAGATCAAGGCCAGCCTGGGATAGGCTACATAATGAGTTCTAGGCCAGCTGAGGCTACATAGTGAGACCCTGTCTCAAAAGACCAAAACTAAATTAAACTAAAATAAATAAAAAGACAATAACTTGATGTCCTATTAACCCCTCCCCCAATGACTTAATTATGAAAGAGGGTGAGATTGCCAGTGTCCTAGCCATGCTGTTGTCAAGACTGAGAGCTGAGAATTCTCTAGATTCTGCTCAGATGAACGTTTCACTAAGACCTGAAAAGGCGTAATAGTCTCCGTTCTGGTAATTCCCACTAGGCTGATGAAGGTCTTCTACGTTGATGATGGGCTGTCTGTGTGCCTGGGAAGTTCTTCCACTTCAAAATTCTTATGTCCCTAACACTTAAGTTTGTCCCTTTGGATGTTAGCAACAGAAGACTGGTACTTCTCCATTTTGATACCTTATCACAATGATTTTTTTTTCCTTTACAGTGAATGGCACAGGGGATTCTAACGCAGGTCACTGGAAACCAGTTCTTTCTGAAGGACACCAGGGTGTGACCCATGAGCTTTTCCACACCCAGATGTACCACAGAGATCTGACTACCCGTTCTCCCATCTTGGCTAGGAGGAGCTTACAGCATGGTGGATCTGAGAGGAGGAAGCTGGGAGTGGGACTATATGGGTCCTAAGCACTAGGGACAATGCCATCTTGAGTCACCTGAAATGGGTTTGGGGCAATGAGTTGCTATGGAAACATAGAGGGAGCCGCCACGCCTCCTCTAAACCTCCTCTTCCTGCAGTGGCCCCCAGAGGGTGGGCGTCTCCTGACAGTGTCTACAGGTGTCTCTACTTTTGTTACACTACCGTGTGCCCTCCCCACACTTCCCCCCACTGTGTCTCTGGAAGCAACACCCCTTCTTCATCCTTTAGTGCCACGATGTAGGGTGGCTCTCTGGATGTCTCACCTGCACATGGGGAGACATCTTCATCATCTCCAAAGGAAACAACGTTTATATGGAAACCACACACACTGTGTGTACCAAGATGCAGAGCTTTTATCCCTTTTCCAATGACGGGTGAGGGGGGGTGTGCGATTATGAAAACCAAAATCAAGTTGCAGTTGTCTCACTCTGGCTTCAAATGTGACCTAACTGGTCCCTTAAGAGACTGATGGAATGTCAAGGTCTTTGACATTCTGTCTGCTGATCACAATATGGTATCTCATGACCAAATCCTTAGAAAATCCAGAGGGTAATTCAATTTGGCAGAGATGAGGAAATGAAATAAATGATTAAGTATTCAATCCATTTCTTTAACATGGTAACAATTCAATTGCCCGTGTAAGTGGAGGTAGGTGG